GCTTCCTCACTTCTGACAGGTTGAGTTTTGAAAAGCATGAACCAGGCACAACACTTAAGCACAGTGGCCATTCCATTTCAGCTAAAGAAGCAATCACAGTGCTGAGAGCAACCACAGCCTGTGAGAGCACTGCTGAATAAACAGGTGATGGACTAATAACACAAGGGAGTATCTATATTAAAGTTACTAAAGAGCTGCTTAACAACAGCTTATAGACAGCTAACTTTGTATTTTAACTTTGCTTCAGGCTTTCCAAAGGAAACATGAAAGTAAAGGCAAAGGCATCCCAGAAAATGGTGCACGCAACTACACAAATATAATTAGGTATGTGCTACAGCAATGCTCATAAGGCAATAATTTTCATAACTATGAGCTCTGCTGATTGCCCCTAACGTGGAAAATATCCTAAATTCCAAGAACAGCCTTCTTCCTCCTTTAAAAGTCTGTAGCTGTATGTTGCATTGTCATCTTTATACAATGGATTATTTTGATGAGACTGTGCTTGGAATATTATGGCATGAGTGAGATTTTTAATGTATTCAATGCTATTCAATAGTGAATTATTTCCTGGCCTCGCATTCTTGAAAAGTGTCAGCATAATACAAGATGGGGGAAAGCACAAAATGGAGTAGCTGGTATTTTAAAACACCTAGGTCAGACTGCCAAAGCCTGGAAAACAAGCCATGTAACTAAATCAGGGAAATTATATTCTTAGTTTTTTAGATTTTTAACTTATGGTTAAGTGCACGTATCATATGCCAAGCTCAGAGCTGTTCTGAAGTCCCATCTGTTTGATCCCTTTCTCCTGCTTTTACTGACAGCAAGGGCTATGCCTGGATTACAGTTACTATTATGCAGAAGACTCACAATAAAACCTGACAGTATACAAACATTTATCCAAACTAGATTTTCATTAAATGGGGATTCAATCCTTCTGCTCTCATGACAGATTTTAAACAAAGCTGAGAAAACTGGTATAATTTTTTTAATCAACTAAATGTAAAAATGGAAAATTTATGCATAAATATGAGCAAGATCACCAAACTCAGAATTCACCAGAACAGCATGTATGCATCAAAAACAGACTGTCCAATGGAATCTGAAAACTCTGGGATTGTAACCACAGTAGCACACTTCAGATGCTGATGCATGACCTGCTGTAATTTGGTCAACTGGAAATTATGTTTTGTTTACTGTACATTTGTGAGTCTATTCTTTCATTCTCCATTGACAAAACTTACTCAAGCTTTCTACTGCTTGAAGCAGAGATGAAGGACAGGAAGACAGGATCAAAAGTATATCTCATCCAACTACTCAAATCAGAGTTCATCACCAATGTCAAGACTTCCTGTGCATACACAATTCTCTCAATGGCTTCTTCCAGAGGAGCAATTTAAAAGTACAATCCTCTTTTCCCCTCAAAAGTTTTAGCCACTTACTCAACCAATGTTTTCCAGTCTTAAATGTGTTATCTAAAGAAAATGCAGGGACTAAAAAGGAAAAAAAATATGCAGAAGGAGTGACAAAAAGAGCCCAAAACCCACAAGCCAAACTCAAAAAAATAACCCCAACCCAGAATGACTTGAGATGGGGTATTTTAAATAAAATTGTACAAAGAAAACTTGAACAGGTCTTTTTAAAGCTTGGATTACATAATGCTCCATTAAACACTGATGTGTCAGAGTTGACTGTGTACTTGATTTTTTTGGTGTAAATTACAAATTAAGGCACCCTCACCATTCAGCTGAAATTCTCAAGGTAGCAACATGGAAAAAATTTAAGCATATGGAGAAGCTAAATATGAAGTTTCCCTGCCGATGACCTTAAAACAAGCTCATGTTAAACCATTCACAAAAATAAACACTGAAGTCACAGCTTCAAAATAGCACAAAACATCCAGTGGATCTTGTTTGTTACCTAACCACGCAGGAGAACTCTTGCCAGTTTACATCCCAGGCAATTTTTCACCAAGAGACAGTGAGTAAAATGCAGAAGTTTGAATAAAAAAAATGAATTTCAAAATTTGAATTTAATTTAGAATAAAAATAATTTAAATTTAAAAAATAATTAAATTGCTGTGACTTCAGGACACTTCTCTGTAGGTGAACAGGAATGGAAGATCCATGATCAGGGCTCCTCCTGATCTCCTGTGTTCCCAGTGGCCTCCTGCAACACAGCCTCCCCCCACAGCTGTGGGGTCAAAGGAGGATCCCATAGGACAGGAATGGGCCAGAGCCAGAGCCCTACAACACCCCAGGGCCAACGGGACCCCTGACAGCCAGAGGCAGGAGCTGGGCTCGTGCCAACTCTCCAACATCACCACCATGGGGTTTGGGCCGTAAGGATACAGAAAAAGCCCAAGGTGTAACTCAAATATTTATTTATTGCTACCAAATCTCTCTTTCTGTCCCTTCATAATTAGCATATTTATCCTTAGAAATGCACACACAACAATAAGTGCACAACTCCCCAAGAATGTCATCTACTAACACCCTCCAAACCTGACCAAGTGGGATAAGAGATTTTTGCTCATCCAAGGTCCTCTGTCTGCAGCTGTTCCACATGGCAAACTCCCATTTCAGTAAATTGGTGCTCTGCTCCCAGAACAGATGCAAAATCACTCTCACAGTGAGAATATACAATGCAGCCTGATTCCAAGAACAAAGTACCATTTTAAGCCTTCATAATTCTGTATTCAAATTATTCTTTTTGATTTGCAGTGGGAATTCCATAACCCTTGTAAAAAAATTGCTTTTTTACTAGTTAGAGGACAATTACAGTATATCACTACTGTATTTTTCTATATGTGTACATTCTGGCTGTTACTTCTGAGCACTGTTATAGGGAACAGACAGAAAAACACCTGCATCCCACTCTTTATAGCACTGGGACAAAGACACACTCAGTGTACCCAGGTAGAGGTACAACATATAAGGGTCAAATTTAAATGTTTCTCTCCCTTAATGACAAACCTATCGGTATAAAAGTGATCCTGAACAAGCTGGTGCTTGCAGTGTCCAAGGTCCTTACAAAACTAAACAAAGTACTACAACTAATCACCCTTTAAATTTTAAAATTTATCTTTTGCTATATGAAAATCATTGCCTTGTACGGGTCTTTTGGTGTTGCACCATTCCAAGTACCCACCATAAAAAAGATGTTGAATTCCCAGAGAATGTGCCAGTGCCTGGAACTTGTACAGGCAACAAAAACCTCAAACACAGGGGAGCCAAGGGACTCCCAGAGATACTGCTGCTTCCCTATGGAAGGATAACACAAGGAAGGTGCTGGAAAAATTTCACTCTGCTGGAAAGAATGAAAAGGCAACATTTTGGCTTGCTGAGTTGACAGGGGAAAGCTTGGGGGGGAAAACTTCTAAGCATTAGCCAGGCTGCACTATCAGAATCACAGGAAATAAATGAGAATTTGGCAAAGACGATAGGAAAGATCCTGAAAGTCAACAACAACAAAAAAAAATAAATAAATGCAGCTCTTAAGAGATATCTCCTGCCAATTTTTTAAAATGTAACCCACAGTTTACAAAACCAGTCTGTTTAAAGAGGTTAGCTACTAAATTTATTAGCCAATTTAAAAATTCTCATATACATCCATTTTTCTCTATTTTATAGCATTTTTGTTCAGTTCAGTTTGAATATACTGACTATGAGAAACAGTTAAATAATTGAGTGACATAATTCCCTTAACAGATCATGACACTTCTAAGAAAGACCAAAAAAACTCATCTGCTTTGAGAAAAAAACCCAAAAACCTGCGTATTATGATGGAATTAGAAAAAGACATCCATTTTCCACAATAAATGAATCATAATAATTTAAGCATGCCATACAAAAGCAAAGAAGGGAAATGAATGATCACTGCACCATAATACAACTGAATGGGAAAAATCCCCAGTATTGTATAAAAAAGCAAAAATCTTGGAAAAATTCTTCTGATGATAAGCAGAATTTCACCAATCTTTAAATTCATAAATTTCCATTTTCAAGCCAAGCACATGTGACTTTGTAACTTTTTTTTTTCTGTGTTTATTGGGAGTTAGCAACTCAAGTCCCAAATCCTTCAGGAAATCTTGTCCTTGACAGTTTTTATTATTTTTGTTAGAGTTCTCCATACCTTTAGGTGTTCAGATCAGAATTTGGGCATATGAATGCCCAAGTGATACAAGTGTATCTCAGATACACCTTTTGTGTGCCATACACAGTACCATAGGAGTAAATTAGGTCACAAGTAGTCCAAAATGGAAACCTGCTCTTCTGCTTAAAAGATTGCTTAAATAATTGGGGGTCTGGTGGATATGTGTGTTAAAATCCTCATCTTTAGGAAGATATTGCAGTATTCCTTCTACATATCACTTCTCTCTACTGGCCTCCATGGCTAAATATTAATAATACTAGTAAGTGATCTGGCTTTCTTCTCTGATATTCTTTTCAATACATTCAAGATGGCCTTGCATAATAGCAGAAGTTCAGGAGTATTAAAGTGTACAACAGCTACAGAGCAGGTTCAGATGGCTATCACAGTCCATTTCATCCTTCAGTAATTAAACTTAAGAAACCCTAATTCTTAAAACTACTAGCCCTTCCTCTCTCTCAATTAACAGCACATATAGATATTGTCAAATACTTAGCTAGAGTACCCAAAATAAAGGATGCTTCTGGTACGTAGGGGAATATAGGACTTTCATATGTAAAAAACCCAACAAAATTAAACAGGAATCCTTACATGATTAGAAAGTAGAATATTGAAGATTTTCCTCATCTATGGAAAGATCAAAATGTTGCTTCTTGTATCTTCATATTTCTATTTAAGATTACCACAGACTAGTAAAAAACCCACCAGCTGCGAGGGATGCAGTCGAACTGGAGGGAAAAAATTCCATTGCTTTCCAACATTCTACACCTGAATGTTTTTGTTTTTCTTTTTCCCAATGCTTCCTCCCTGAGGCAGAAGGCCTTTCTGGCACGTTCTGGCAGGTGACTTACCGGCAGTGTTTGTGGGATCCCGTCAGGGTTTCGATCACAAAGCATTCCCCCTCGTTGAGACAATACGCCAGGTCCTTGTCCTTGCATGGCTTAAAGTGCTCCGAGCGCTCCGTGGAATACGTCGTGGTGTCTGAGGGGAAACAGGCAGAGCAAAGAAAGGCTGTGAGGATGAATACTGGCTGTTCCTGCAGTACACGGGAAATTAATTTGATCACACTGGGCTCAGTGGCATCACACACACACTACAAGAAAGGGAAATCATAGGGCAGGCCAACCTCCCTTTGACCACAGCATTATTTACAGTCAGGTTTCTTAAAAGATTCACAATAAATACCTGCAGAAAAACCAACCAGACAGCAGCAAAGGTGGAGTATGATCTCAACCCATCTCAACTACAACCAATTTCCTAGGTTTCCCTGATAAAATGTTAAGACACCTACTTTGTGTACTTTAATCAGAACAATATTTTCATGTCACTACACCAAAATATGGCTTGAAATAAGATATTTTTTTCACATAAACCAAGCAAAAATAGTTAATACAATGTTAAACAAAAACACCAAAAAATCCACCCAAAACCCACTACAATGAAAGAGGAAAAACAAAGCCAAACACCCAAGAGTCAACGCTAATTTGAATCACCAGTCAGAAAGAACAGGCTAAAACTCAAACACAAGCAATGTACCAGTGATTGTGCCATTTCACACAGATCATGCGTAGGTGTTGTAAGCCCACCCCCAAAATACACATAAAGGCTTGATTACAAGTAGAACTGTTGGCTGTACCTTTGGAATATTTAGTTAGATAATTAGATTTGGAATAGACTGACAGTAGGATGTCAGGGTGAACTATCATTCCTGTCTTCTAATAAAACTCTTTAACCTTTCCAATCCAGTTGGATTAATCAACAATAAAGTGAAATTTTCAGAGGAAGATGCCTGACTGACACATATTTTAATTTTCTTCACTATGACAAGGTTTTGTCTAACGAAGTGTGATTTTCAAAGTAGATTATGATTTCCACAGAGCCATGGTTGAATCTTTATATTCAATCTTAATTTAAAAAATTTAAATTCCTAATCACTTTGCAGTACCTGATATACACTGAAGTGGTAAGAGAACATTTCATTGTATAGCATACAGCCTATCACAAACTATTACTTTGACTGCTGTCAAATAAATGAAGCAGTGCTCAACAGACACAGAACCTCACAAACTCAAAGTTATACAAACACTTTAACTTGGTTTCGCTCATAACTGAATACAAGGTAAATATCCACCAAACTAACACCAAAGTTGAAAACCAAGATACTGAACCTGCAACAACATACCTGTAACTACAGTTCTGCCAGAAAATTCAGATAATCCTCAAAAAATGCCAAAGTATTTTTTCTCAGTATATTTTTAATAAAACACCTCTACAAGTTTTCCTTATATGCAGACTAAACGACAGAAGATAAATTAAAACAATAAAACACATCTGAAAACAATAAGAAAATCCACACCCTATTCTTTGTGTGCAACACTTCTTTGTTTTTCTTCTCCAGAAAGAAAATGTTGTAGTTCAGTGTTTTCAGTGGAGAGAAAAAATATCCTGGGAGGAAACTCCAACAGTCTTTCCTCAAATGTTTTTACAGAATCAGAACAAAAGCCTGTGCCATTGTCCCCAGTAGCAGCACTTGGAAAAAAGATGCAGGCTAAATAGAAACTATGTTTTTAATGTTTGCAAGCAAACCCTGAACTGAAATGTATCAAGTTGAATTTTGGAGATGCACAAGATGTATAATACAAGATGTTTATATATCCAAACATCTATAAGTGAGACTAGCATCTCACTGTTGGAATTTCAAGACTGATGAGCTTTAATGTAAAACAATAAAAAATCCTCACATAGAAAAGAAGTAGTCGAGTTATTTTTTAAGGTCAGTTTTACCCAGGAGCACTAAAATGACCATTTAAAACTTGATTAGGCAAAAAATAACTAGAAACCTGAGTAACCTGTTATATTTCTACCCCTTTTAAATATAGAAAACTGAAGGTAACGTTATCTGAAAGCACTCCTGGTAATTACAAAAGCTAAGTAAAACTGTTCGATGAGCAGGAACTCAGCTTGATCCAGCTTTAGGGAACAGAACCCTTGTATTTGTGAGCCTGCTCTGAGGAAGCAATCCGTGCAAACACCTTTATGAAGGTGCACAATGCACAGACCAAAGGAATCCAAGGTGCTCCCAAAGGACAGGAGCAGACGAGGGGGATCCAGCGCGGCTGAGGCAGTGACGCAGGGAATTCTCAGAGCACAGCTTTGAAGTGCAGGAGCCTCCTCTGTACCATCATTAAACCAACAACACCTTGCCAAGGTCAGCATTTTAAAGTTTTAGATGAAATTGGTTCTTTAGAAGTTTAGTTCTGCTTTATTTTAATTATTCCTCTGTTTAATATTAGTCAACCCTTGTGTTTTATTTATAAATGGGTGTAAGCTGCAATACTTCATTTTCTCCACTTGGACACAATCTCAAGCTTTTTTTCTTTTCTGCTTTGTCCCTCACCTTTCAAATTAAGTACAACGGTTGTAGGTAACAATGATGCTGGCAGCTCGTTATGGCAGCCTTGGATTGCATTCCTAATTGCACTTGAAAAGTACTCAAGAATTGGTAACTTTTTTCTTTTTTAATACATAATCCCATTAAAAGTAACTTTTCAGTGAGTCTTTTCTGGTTTGGAATATTTGTGCAAGTCTAAGCAGGCTGATGCACACGGACTCTTCAGAGATCCCTGGCTGCCGAGATCAGGTGTGTGAGCTGAAAGGTCACTCACCAACATTCCAACATTCCATTCCTGTCACTAAATAATATCCTGGATTTCCCTGGAGCTGCTGGGAACTTTCTGCTGGAGACAACTCCCATATCCCATACATGAGTTTCATAAAAGTTACAATCCTGCTGTTGTTTTATATTGCATTCACAAACTCTGCTACAGCCTCATTAAATATTGATAAAAACAAAACGTAAAAACTGGTTCTAAACAAAACTACAGAATGTACAAAACAACAGAAAACACTGTAGAGACCACACAGTTTTCCTGATCCTTTGTCGAATAAATAATAAATCCTATTGTCTCTTGTTTTATTTTACCCCTGACCAAATACTGAATTGCCTTTTCCATGGTGGAACTGTCCTTCATCGCTTCAGAAGCCTGGTAAATAAACACCATTGTATTGTGATGTTTGATTTTTTATGATTTTTTTAAAATGACTAATAACACCTAGGCATTCAAAAAATTGAACAATACAGCCCCTTAATTTACTTTTAGTCTTTGAATGTGGTAACAGTCCCAAATGTTTATAAGTAACAAAGGGGAATTTCTTTTAAGTATACAGATGTCCCTGAATTCAGTGCATATTCCTTAAGGTATTTTTCATTATTTTAATTGCCATGTGTCCAGGTGTTTCATGCAAAAGCAACAGGGGATATTGATTTCTGCTGGAATCTTTCCAACTAAGTTGGAATTAAAAAATTCTAGGCACTCTTGTTCTTATTTTTCTTGCCTTACTGTATCAGCAAAGGTTTACACATGATTCCCATACTCCAAAAACTAATATATCACTGCCAACCCTCAGTTACCACTGTGTAACCAAATGAAACAGAATTTCATTCACATTTCATGATCTTTTATAAACATAGAGTCGGTTTCTAAAAACATTCAGTCTTTGGGACTGTTGACAAAAAGCAATAAAAAGTTCACAGATATTGTTTTATTTTGTTTAGGTCTAAAACAGTCTAAAAAAAGTTAGTGAAATTGTATCCTTGCCTCATTAATGTATGTCATCATATTTATACCAGCACAGGATGGCTCATCATAGCTGATTTCTGAGTGATCTTCAAGGCATGATATGGTTAACTAGAAATCCTATTTGCTCCTTTCAATGTTTCCAGTGCTGACACTGTGTGTTTTCAGTGCCCTGATACTGCTAAATCTGTAACCGCCAGGGAAAAATGCAGGAAAAGAAAGAATGCAAGATGTAAAATATCCTGGGAAACAGCAGCATTGGGGGCAGCTGCTGCTGCACAGATTGCAGGAGCAGCCATCCCCGTCCATCACACCTGTCCTGCAGCATTCCAGCTTCAGAAACAGATTTCACTGGTAACACCTCAAACAAAGCAACTTTCCTGTGCTAGCTGTAAATGATACACCCATTTTTTCCAGGCAGACAACGTTAGCTGCTGTAGGGAGAAAAATGACCAAGAGAACATGAGATGGAAAGGCCTTATATAACATTTGTGAACTACCCAAACTCTGCAGCTACAGAGTCACTGACACAGGTAAGGCAAATGCTGGGTGCATTTCCACCAAGGAATATTAAGACACAGCTCATTTTAAGACCACAGCTCACACACTGAAAGACTTGCTTAAATGTTGCATATTTTGACTATCACTGGGTATTACCAGCTTTACAGAGTCAGTATCAACATGCAAACTGGCTTTTCCTTTATCTTTTTATCCATTTATAACTGATCATGTCCCAGAGAAGCATTACTTACTGAGGCACCAAAAAAGCAAGATGCTTATTTTAAATCCCTGGTCCCATTTCTAAACACACTGCAAAAAATAAGCCAGACACAGGCAACTGAATTGCCTCTGAAAATATAACTCTAGTTATAAAAAAAATACCTTTTTAAGAAACCCCAACATTTTAAACAATATATTCCTGTAGCACTACTGCATTCTACAAATGAGGCAGCATAAAAAGTCAGTTAATAGCATATAGGGAGTTAAATTCTGTTTTTGTTGAAGTTAATGGCAGAATATTTATAATGATTCAGTATAAGCAAGGTTCCTTGAAGTTCCTATAGGGTCATCTAGTGCTTCTCTCCTGATATCTCAGAATCATCCGTGATATCCCTAACTAGAAAAAGTCTTGCACAAAAAATGAAACTTACACACAGAATATTTTAGATGTGATTTTGTTTATTCACTTACTGAACCTTAAAAACCATAGAAACTAAAATTTTTATCCCTGTGCTTCTAGAAGTATCCTGGTTTAGGAAGGTTATTTCCCAGTTTAGTGCTTCCCCTATTCCCTCTCCAGCTAGAAACACAAAAGGCAAAGATCAGAGGTCGAGATAAGAGCGA